GGCGGGCCTTTTTGGCAGAGCCAGTGCTTGAGCACTTGCTGACGTTCCGCCACGAGGCGTCTCGACATCCTGCACACGTGGATTTGCCCCCTCTCCGTGACTTCCGCCGCAACGTCCCGGGTGCCGGCAACAACCGCTCACAGGTTCTATGCTGTCGGAGACTTGTTTTTTTTTTTAGATGTTTGCCGGATTTTGCTCATCGAGATATCCATGAGCAGTTCTTCCGACAGCTTGCCTGCATTGGCAGGAATCCCAGCAGGTGGTACGACGTGCCAGTGCTGCCCATTGACAAAAGCAACGGCAAGCCCAAGTGCCAAGGCAAACGCCACCAGGCATGTGCAACGGCCCCTCGACCTGACTGGGCGTTTGGGTGCATCAAGGGGCGCCGCCGTGAAGAGGCATTGGCCATAGTTGAGAACAACATGTTTCGATGCCGTCGGAGCAAACGCAACCATGCCATTTTCTTCAGAGATGTTGCCAACGCATTTCCCAGTTTGAGCCATGAGCCCATTGCTCGGCATGTGCGATCTCAAGGTGCGGCGCATGACCTCATCATGGATGCCCATGCCAATGCGCTGGCTTGCGAGTGCCGGGATGTGGCGTGCGAAAATGGCGCATGGCACGTGGAACACGGCAGGGTGACACGATCGCTGGTGACTTCTTCATGGATGTTTACCACGTTCCGCTCCAGGCGTCCTGCAGTCGGCTCGGCGGGGGTCCGCGGCAGGCCCGTCCGGGGCTACCAACGAGCATCTTCGCGTCATGCTGGATGACGAGGAGGATTGCCGTTTGCTGCATGGCGCTGCTGAGCAGCTCGCCCACGCACAGGTGCCCGCTACGGTCCTTGCTGCCATCCGGGTCGGACGCATCGTTGCCTTGCGTAAGCCCAACGGCCGCGTGCGTGCTTTGGTCGTCGGAGATGTGTTGCGCCGCCTTGTTGGGCGCGTCCTGGCCCAGCAGTTCGCCCCACAACTGCAGGACGCTTGTCTCCCTTTTGAGTTCGGGCTGAGCACGTCCGCTGGCACGGAAGCTGTCACGCGCCTGTTGCGCGCCGCCACGGAGGCCGCGCCCCGCGCCACCATCTTGTCGGTAGACGCGGTCGGCGCATTCGACCATGTCGCCCGCCAGGCCATGTTGCGTGGCCTTTTCGAGCGTCCAGCACTCCAGCCTCTGCTCCCTTGCGCGCGCCAATTCTACTCCGAGCCCAGCGCGTATGCCTGGCAGGACGCGGACGGCGTTGGGCATGTCGTCTATAAGGGCGAAGGCGGCGAACAGGGAGACCCGCTTATGCCGGCGCTTTATGCCCTCGCGCAACACCCCGCCCTCATGGTGGTGCAAGACCAGCTCCTTGACGGAGAGGCCCTCTTCGCCTTCCTGGACGATATTTACATCGTCGCGAGCCCGGAGCGTGTTCGCCCCCTGCTGGATGCGTTGAGCGCTGCCTTGTGGGAGCACGCCCGCGTCCAACTTCATGCTGGCAAGACACGCATCTGGAACGCGGCAGGTGAGGAGCCCCCTTCCATCGCTGACCTAACCCGCGACGTCTTGGAGCCCGTCTGGGTTGGCGACTGGTCCCTCCCGCCCGCGCAGCAGGGGCTCCTGGTACTCGGCGCGCCGCTCGGCCACGAAGCCTACATCCGCGAGCGACTCCGCCTCAAGCGCACCGAGCATGACACGCTGCTCAGCCGTGTCCCACGGCTTGACAGCTTGCAGGCAGCCTGGCTGCTGCTTCATTTCTGCGCGGTGCCCCGCGCTAACTTCCTCCTCCGGGCCCTCCCGCCCCACCTCACGGAAGGGTTCGCGCGTGACCACGATGATGCCATTGCACGTTGCCTTGCAGAGCTCCTCCAACTCGATGCCGAGCAGCTGCCCGAACACAGTCTTCGGACGGCGCGGCTTGCCTGGCGGTGTGGTGGACTCGGCCTGCGTTCTGCATGTGCAGATCGTCCCGCTGCGCACTGGGCTTCCTGGTGTGACACCTTTCCTGTCATCCAGGCTCGGGCACCCGGGGCTGCTGAACGCTTGCTCAGTGCCCTCGATGGCAGAATCCCCCTGCCCTCTGCCGCCGCTGCTAACAGCGCGCGGGAGCGCCTTTGCGACCTTGGTTTCGCCGCGCCTGTGTGGCCGGCAGTCCTCGACGTCGCGGCCGCTCCCCCAGCACGAGAGGGAGGGCATGATGCTGGCAATGCCTTGCGGGGCTGGCAGCGGCGAGCCGCCCGTGCGTGCGATGAGCGCGCGTGTGAGACGCACCTTTCTGACCTTCCACCTGCGTCCCGCGCGCTGCTGCTCTCGCAAGCAGGGCCTCACCCTGCTCGCGCCTTCACCGTTTCGCCCACCCACGAGGCCGTGCGCATACCCAGTGCTCAGTTCCGTGTCCTTCTACTCCGGCGGCTGCGCCTGGCCCTCCCACTCGCTCCGCGGTCCTGCAGCTGTGGGGGTCGGCTGGACCCCCTTGGCGACCACCGGGCTGCCTGCGCCACGTCGGGGGTCCTCGCCGCGCGCGCCGCGCCGCTGGAACGAGCGGTCGTGCGCGTTTGCCGTGAGGGTGGCGCTCGCGTCGCGAGGAATGTGCGTGTCGCGGACATGAACATTGATGTGCCCGTCGCCGATGACCGGCGGATTGAAGTGGTCGCCAACGGGCTCCCCCTGTGGCACGGTGCGCAACTCGCCCTCGATGCCACCCTCGTGTCGCCGCTGACGCGTGCAGGGGAACCCCACCCACGGGCTGACGTCGAGCCTGGCCACTGCGTCGCCGCGGCAGCGAGGCGCAAGAGGCAAGGCACGTATCCGGAACTGCAGCGGGCACGGCGCTGCCGCCTCGTCGTGATCGGGCTTGAGGTTGGGGGGCGCTTCGGCGCTGAAGCAGCCACCTTCCTCCGCCTGCTTGCGCGCCACCGGGCTGCGACTGTCCCGGCACACTTGCGACCCGCGGCCCGGGCAGCACGGATCTCCCGCTGGACTGCGCTGCTCGCAGTCGCGGCGCAGCGCTCCTTCGCCAGCTCCCTCCTTGAGCTGCCCCTGGCGGGCGAGGCCAACGGCGACGACAGCGAACCCGAGCTTCATGAGCTCCTCGCTGACGGGCGCTGGGAACGGCCGGTCGCTGCAAGCCGCCTCCCCGCCCGCTGACCCCTTCCCGGTGACCCCCGACTCTGTGACTTTCCGGCTGGCGGAGAAAAGGTGCGAAGAAAAAAAAAAAAAAAAAAAAAAAAAAACCTGCTCTTCGAGTATGGCAACAACGTGGTTGATGCGGATAAGTAAGTCCTGCATGCCCAGGCAAAGAACGCAATTTTACATGGTGTCAAACTGCATTTGAGCATGACGTCACGTCAATGTTAGAATCATTCTAAACATCGGCGGTTTTTTGTTCAATTCTCTCAATGCTATACAAAATCACCCCGCGCGACGTCAAAGAAATTTGTCACGTACTCAGTCCAACGATTGATGCGGCAATGACCATGTATGCTGATGACATTGCTGAGCTCATGGTGCACGAGATGGATGGGTGCTGGGGCACAGGCTAACCGCAAGGCGGCCATGCTTCCCAACAAGGTCACGCCTGCAAAAAAGCTCGGAGTTGCGAGATGCCGGGGTGGTGGGTGCACAACAATGGCAACAAGAACACGGAGATTGATAAGCGCATCTCGGCCATGCGGGCAGGGTTCTGGGCCTATGCTGGCATTTGGCGCTGTAAAAAAAAGACGTATCGTTTTTTGCGAAGCGTTTGTTTCTTCAAAGCCATGGTGCAAGGGGCAGGAGCGATGTGGTTTATTGGCCTGCAAGCCCAAAAGATAACCCAATCGCTGTGCGCCCTGCGGAATCAGCAAAAGTCACATAGTTGGTACTTACCAGGCTATAGTTTTGCAAGGAACACGAACCGCGAGGGCACGCTAGCAATGAGCATGTGTTTATGTGACCCTGTATTGGACGCACAAAACGCATCGAAACGCCAAGGTGCACCTGCGAGGGCGTCATCGCTCGTTGCAATCAGGGTTCAGGGTAGTGATTCCATCAGAATGCCAGGCTGTGCAAAAAGTTCTCGGCGCCTTTTTGCAACACAGTCTTTATGACACGACAGGGAACGTCGAACATATGTAACAAAGAGGGGGCTCGCCGAGGCTTCGTGCTCGAGCGGGCGTGGGTCCAGGTGGCGCGGGAAGCCGTCGGCCCCAAGGACGTGTCGTCCCCCAGCAGTGGCTCGCCGACACCACGGCGCCGGGGGTTGCAGCGGACGACCGCCGAAGGCTTGACCTCGTCATCTACGGCGCGTCCCCCAGGGGCGAGGCTTTGTGCTGCGACGCCACCTTGCTGGGAGTTGCAGCGACTTTCTCAGGACGAGCAAGCCGCCCTGGCCCAGACGGACAAGCTTCTTGCAGCCGTCCCTCGCGGAGCAGCTCAAGCTGATGTTCCCCCTCATGGCCACACCGACGGCCATGGAGCTCGAAGTCATCGCTTGCAATTTGTGGAAGGCCAAGAAGGACACCAAGTATGTGCTGACAGTCACTCATACCTCCGCTACAACGGGCGCCTCATACAGAGGCGATCTGCGGGTCCTGTGACCCGGCTCAAGATCTAGTCGGGCCACAAAGGCACTAGACCCTAGTCTAAAATTCGTGCATACGTACACGCTCCTAAAATACGACGTTCACTCACTAATTTCGCGCGTTCACTTCGTTACCTTGGGCTGCGGCCCCTCCTTCCTCTCCTCCCCGTCTGGGGTCGTTCCTTCAGGCCTCCGGGTTCTTTCCTTTCAGGCTCTAGTCCCCGTTGACCGCTTGGCTCACTTTTGTGCCGCCCTCATAAGCAGGAGTTGGCCTTGCCAGTCGAGAGCCCTTGCCTGTGCGTTACCTTGCAAATTAGTTCGTTTCACTCCCTCGTTCGCTTCTTTCTCTTCCTATTTAGTTAAGGGAGAGAGTCTGTCCTTGAACAACCGTTGACGGTCAGTACATATATACACTACAAACGGCCAGGCACATTGGCCGCCGAACAATCCAGTACTACGCTCATAGCTGCAAGCCCGCCAACAAGTTGCGAGCAATCTGGCAGATGGCTGCCACATAGTGGACATGAGCATTGACAGATGAACGACTGTTCAGAACCAAGCTGGGGTCAAAGATCCAGCGAAGCAACTCATCATCTCCAAACTGAGGAACGCGCTGTAACCCCAGACGAGTGAGCCAGTGACGCCGTTGCGAGGCCAGCAATGGACAAGCTCGAATTGCGTGAAGCAGGTTGCACTGGTCACCACAAAGGCACAGAGATTCCGTCCTGTGCGAATGACGGGCGCTCCTACCATCCGTAAATGGGTGATGGCCACACCGGGCCAGGGTCCACTCTCGGACTGCGGAGATGGGGAGCCCGGAGGAGTGTATGCTGACCAGGCAATGCAATCGAGGCTGATAGACCGCATAATTGGCCAGCGAAGGTACTGCCAGCAATTCTGCGCGGTAACTCGCATGGGCACGTTGCTGCAAGGTCTGTACAACCTGATGCCTAGTCCACTGCCAGACACGTCGAAGACCCGATCCCGGGAGCACCCCGTACGATGCCGGAGACATGACGCCATCCTGATGCAAGGTCTGGGCGGTCTCATATGCCCAAGAGCCTGGTCGACTCAGGGCAAAATTGAAGACGCGTGCTGCCAAGCCTCTGCGGACGTCGCGCGTGCTTGTGGCAGAAAGTCTGCCAAAAAGACCAAACTGCAGGCGCTTAACCTGAAACAGAAAGGGTGCCCAGCCAAGCTCACCAAGGACTGCTGCCCCCGGTGCACCACTGGGCCATTGCAGCAAACGTCTCCCCCACTGGCGGATGACCTTGTCCAAGCGAGCAATCGTCGCTGAATCAAGGAACTGTGTGCCATACAGCGTGGAAGGCAAAACATAGGTTTGGAATAGAGCATTGCGGAATCCTGTGTGTAGCTGGCGATTCTCGGCCCAACCCAAAAACTGGTAAAAGCGGCGAGTACTTTTAACTATGAGCCGAGTCTCATGTTGACGCCATTTTCGAGAGGCTGCGAATGTAACACCCAGGTAGGTGTAGTGTGGCACGCACGGGACGGCACAACCCTGCAAGGAAAAGTGGAAGTTCAGGAGCCTGGACCCAACAACCATCACAGCTGTTTTTTCGGGACCAATCCCAAAAGAGAAACGCCACCGTGCGCCCCAGTTGCCGATAGCATCTAAGGCACGTTGCAAGGTCGCTGCATCATCTGCCAAGATTACCAGATCATCAGCGTACAGAAGAAGTGTCACGCGAGGGGCGCTTGGGCCAGGGCCCAACGCAACGCCCGGACATACTGCACGCACAGCATCGGCAATACCATTGAACAAGATGTTGAAAAGCAGCGGACCTAAGACGCTCCCTTGACGCACGCCGGCCGTTTCTGTCCAAGGCTGCGAAGTCAGACCATTCACACGGACTCGAGCTGTGGTTTCACAAAGGAGGTCTGCAATTACCGACCACATCGAACCACTAACGCCGGTCTCCGCAAGCCTAACTAACACCGCATCCCTCCATGCAACATCAAAAGCTTTGCGTACATCCACGAAAGCACAGAAGGTACGCTTCCTGGCACGCAGCCTGAGCGTCTCGGCCAAGGTGTAGATTTGCTCCTCGGCCCCCCAGCGAAACCCGGCTTGACACTCATCGAGTTGCGGGTCGACCCTGGGAAGCAGCCGCGCCAGCAAGAAACGCTCGAAGATTTTGAGGCTGCAACAAAGGAGGCTGATGGGACGATAATTATTGAAATCGAACAAGGGGGCCGTACAGTATAAAAGGAACGAAAATGGCACCCAAAATGCTGTACGCAAAAGGGCTTATAATAAGTATATTCATGCGCCCTTTTACTCACTTTATGCTTTCACCTCTGGATCTAGGATATAATCATTAGGGCGCTCGCTCGTTCTCTCATTAAATTCATGCGCTTCACTTATAATTTAATTTCGTTTTCTCGTTTACGCGGTTCACTTCGTTCATTCTATTTCATTGTGTTCTCGCTTCATTGCGTTCATTGAAAAACCCTTATTATTCACTTAATAGCCGGGCCTATGAAAAGACTTATATTAGCCCGCCATGAACTACACTATTAATAGACTAATACAGTAGTAAATTGCACGGGCTTTCTTATTTCTTTCTTTTGCCCGTGTAATAAGACGAAGACATGACATCCAAAACTGGGGCCTTTTCCTGCGGTCATTCAATAAGCGTGAGAAGAAAGAAGTACACGCAATAAGCCCGTTATAAATTAAATAATCCCCCAAAAGGTAGTATTATTAGGATGACATGTGTGCGCTCATAAGTTCATTCATGCGCACATGTAATTCTTATTGTTGGTGCGTGAATACAATATTAAAAAGTGAGAACGAAACGGGCTAGTTCATGAGTCTTCCCTTGGGATCTCTTCATACTGGTAATTCACCTGTCCTTTAACTCTAGGAAATGTACGGTCAAGGGGCTATGTGTCAGGGAACGCTGGAACTCAAGGAACTAGACTGGCGGTGAAAGGCATGAACAGGATATCACGTCTTATAAGGAAGGACTCAATGGTTTTAGCCGTGTAAAAGAGGTTAATGACAGGCCTGGAGAGTGGGGTTCTTGTTGCGTTCACGTGTTCATATGATTCGTGCGTACATTCATTACTTTCATTCCCTTACAATCATATTCGTAAAGGGAAGAGAGCACAAAGAACCTATATTATAAGGGCTTATGCGTACACCATAATTATATTGTCTAACCGCGAGAATAACAGTATTCCTGTAGACACATTAATTACTATCCCGGGCTCATATTATAATTGTATTAAATGCCCGGTTATTATTACAAGCGAGAACTATAATTCGCTACCTTCATGACGTCGTTCTCTACAGGATTATAATATTAGTGGCGCGACTACCTGAGCCAACGCCCCGTGCGGCTGGAACTGGTAGCGTTTGTCTCTACCGAGACATGGACAGTTTGGATGCCTCAGAGCCTGTGAATGAGAGTAATGAGAGTGAGCTCTTGGAACGTCCGCCGGTGTCCAGGAGCGCTGTCCACTCACCACGCTGGAACGCAGCTGCTTGCGGCAGAAGCTCGTCCCGCCCCTGGGCCCCACGGTGGGTTCTACGCGCCAAGCGCATTCGCGAGGCGAGGAGAAACAACTTCCAAGCTGGCGAAGCGGGGGTGCCATGCCACGCACCCGTGGAATCGCGCAAGCGGCTCAAGGCCGTCACCAGCGCTGTCCGCAGTGCTGATCGCACAAAAGGCAGATCCGCCGCAGCGATGTCGTCAAGGGCGGCCAAAGATGCTCCGTGGATGCCGGGTGTCGGCGTCGTGGCGCGCACGCCACTGCTCGGTGGCTCAACCTCAGCTGGGCAGACGGGTACAGCTTCATCGGCATGATCGCTGGCATCCCGCGATATCGGGTTGCGACGGCGAGCCCGGCGGCGTCCGTGTCGGGCAGCTCGTGGACGTTCACCGGCCACGCCCTCGGCGCGCGAGCGTCGGGCATCGTCGGCGAGTGCTTGGGAACAAAAGCTGACTCCCGACTACTGGGCAGCTGCAGTTGCTGTTGTGCCGGTACGCTTCGAGCAGCGCGGACTGCCGGCGGCCGTGATGTGGCCGTCGGGGCCCATACACTCGGGGACCAACAGGCCACAGAAACAGAATGCCAGGCAGCCAGGCCTCGAGCTTGGATGTGACAGGGGGCGTCGCTTTGCAAATAGACTGCAGGTGGTGCCAAACAAGCGGCGTCTGCCACCGGTGTATGTGGCGGCGTAAACCCAGGCGTCGTTGAATCACGTTGCTTCGCCATCAACACCAACTTCGGCAACAAGCTTCTCGTAGGCCACCTCTGCGGACGAACATCTTGGCAGGAGCTTGTCGTCAGGAGCCGTGAGACCAGTTTTTGGAAGGTGCACCTTTCCACCTTTCCACCTTTTCCGTCGGCGAGCTGCACGAAGAACTCTACCAAGTCGTCCTCGCTGTCGCAATCTTCCGAGGATTCGCCAGTGTTCACCACAGCCAGCTGGTGAGCGGGAGTCGCTGGGGATATCGGGTCACTCACCTCGGGACTGTCATTCTAGGTTTCGGCGGTCAGCTCATCAATCTCTGGGATGCGTGTTCCAGCCATCAGCGCGTCCAAGAATTCGCCAGGGACATCCGTCGGCAGTAGCTCACTTCGTGAAGGGGGCTTGCCCTCAGCCATGGCGGCATTGGAAAGTCCAAACTCGTTTGGTTTGGGGGACTGACCTGGTGGGATTCCATAGCGCCTCTCGAAGGTACGCACGCGTCTGGCATGGTCTCATGCCAATCTTTCCAAGCACCTGCGAAACGCACCAGCTTCGGTTCTCATGCTCGCTTCCTCCGGCGTGAGGCCGACATCCACCCAGGCGGCGATCTTGGAAACAAGGAACTCACATCTTCGGCCAACTTCGGAGGATGACCCAAAAACTCCTTTCCATCGGCAGAACAAGCACGTGCCCCGCCAGCTCCAACCATGAGCCTCATCCACTTATCACGCGCCGGGTTCGCACCCAGCTGGCAACCCACACTCGAGGGCCGCCGGTATTGGTTTGATCGGCCTTGGACCGGAGCCCCCGGATGTGTACCGTGCCGCGATCACGAACCCACTCGCATGAGCGCAAGTGTGTGTGTGTGTAGCAGGTCATCATATCTGATGCTGGCTTGTATGCAAAGTCGAAGGTTGCCAGCAATCAGCCTTAGTGGCTTTGGGATGGCAAGATCCAAACGTTCCAGGAACAGAAGCTTTCCCAGCTCGCTTAGCGTGGCGATCAGTCAAGCGCTTAATGCGGCTCCATCTGCACCAGGCTGTGCGTGAGGACTCGCGGTGCATATATTTGCCAACACCGTCATCGATAACGCTCTCGACGTCGAAGGATTGTGACAGTGAACCTCGAAATGGGGGGATGTCCGAGGTCACCACCCCACCCCACCACACGCGCACGCGACTCACTCACGCACGACCCTCACACTTCCCCTCAGCAAGAACGCGGGGATAGGGGGGGCGAGAGAGAGAGAGGGAGAGAGAGAGGAAATGAGCATTTCTTGGACGAGAGTACCTGTTTGGAGAGCCTTCGAGCGCATAGCAAGACGGTTTTGGCCGGGCCTTCTAGAGCCGGACTGTTCCTCGTGCCTCCGGCCCTGTGCCCCGAGCTGGACTGGAGGCCTCACTCCGATGCACGGTTCTTGCGGTCTCCTCGTGGCCGCCTTCTCAAAGCCTGACAAAATTGAGAGAACACACCCAAGTGGGAGCCCACGAGCCCCCTCCCCAATGCATTTTCGGGGAGAGGGGAGACAGCACAGAGAACGATTTCGGGGCGCGGATGGACCCACTGCCTGGCGGTGGCCGCACCAGCAGGAACTGAACCCGAGAGCAGAATCCGAACCAAGAGTGGAGAAGTGTGCTTGTAAATTGCTTCTCATTTGTGTTTCTTTGTTTCTTTCTCTTGCTACAGTCAATTCTCGACAAGCTGCGTTCCGGGGCGGCGCGCAACGACGGCGCGTCGCGTGAGCCCGAACTGCGCATGTCTGTCCCTCTCCGATACGGTCTCGCGGTCCTGCGCATTCAAAGAGAACCACCAATCGAGGAATTTCTCCATAAGGCGGGCGTACCTCAGTGCGGTGGAGGATGTGTTTGGGGCGGTGTGTGTTTGGAAGCGAGTTTCATCCAACACTCCTTCAACTTCAACGAGATGAATGATGTCCATCGCCACTCCGCACTTCTTCAAGCTTGAATATATCTGCACACTCCGCAGAGTCCGGGAAACAAATTCCTGTATACCGGCCTTCGCGCGATGCAAGATTGCAAGATTGGCAGGGGAAGGAACATTGTTGCGCTCGGACTTTGCCCTAGGCCCTAGGCTTAACAGAGGAAGGCTTGCTGCTGCTCGGCAACAGGCAGCAAAAGAGGGGGGAGGAGGAAGCGCCCTCTTGCTGAAAACCGGCACGGCATCCTCATCACTAACCTCCTCGGGCCAACTCAGTTCAGCAACGCTCATGTCGGACGACTGCGCGCAAGGCACCGCAGCCTTCTTCCTGAAATCAGATACTGCCTCATCTGGCCTATGCACACCACGAGTGTGATCGCCAATCTCCAGGAGCCAATCAGATACGCACGCTTCCGAAAACACTCGAACTAGACTCAGCTGTCAACTCGCCACTTTCACTTTCGGAAGGAGGTCGCACCGACTCGGGCACGGCTCCACTGCTGACACTCCCTAGACGGGAACTTTCCTTTGCCTTTGCTGGAATTTCCGCCCATGCAATGGGACATTGCAAACTGCGAAAGGATGCTTCATGGGTTTTGCGGCTCTTTCTGACAGATCCGCATTCCTCATGCTTTCATATGGGGGCGGGTTCGGGCGCAAATCTCGGCACCGATTCCGCGTGACCTCAGAGACACTCGCCACTTTCCAGAAGATCTGCTACCTCATCACAAGCAGACAAGCAGTCCAGTTGGCCGCAGCACGATGCAGCACGTGGCTCTCTGCGGGGCTCCGCAGGTGCTGATCTCATGATCCGTGCCAACTGCTTGGTGCAGACGTGGAAGCGGGGACTGCTCTCGCACCCGGCGGTCGCTCAGACTCTCTCTCTGGACGTGCTGCGCGGTTCAATCGAGCGTCCAGCCTAGCTCGTCTAGTTTTCGTATGATAGTGTCACGGCTGTCTTGTCGTCTATCACGTGCAGCAAGCGACGGTCAGGCCTGGTACTTCGATAGGAAGTTCGGCGACTCTCCCGATCCAAGCTCCTGTCCAAGTCCTCCTGGACAGTCCTTTGGATCGCCCTGCCTACTTCTGGGTCCATATCTCCCTACGCCGAAATTCGAAGGCTCCTCATTTAATCCCTTGTAGCCAAAATGGCCACGTCATTTGGAACTCGCTTTCGAACATCCAAATATTCGTATGAACATGCGGCATGTTTCTGCCGGAGGCAACAACATATGCGCGGGACCAGAAGCTGGACGTCGAGTTTCCCCGTCTGTGAGCACTGCACTCCGAACTGGTTCCGCTCGGACCAAAAACTTTCAACCGAAGGCAACAGCAAAACGCTCCTTCACTGCAAAATCACATGGATTAATCGGTACAAGACCTTGTGGTATGTTTGTTTGTTGTGTTTGTTCTCTTTTTGTATATACCTTGCCTTACCTTCAATCCCAGACGATTGGTGTGCCCTGCAATTCCTACCTGGTACTGCACCCAAAGGCGCAACGCCTTGTGCATAAACCATCATAAACCCCAATCCGCATTCCGCCATCAGTTTGTTGAGGAGCAAAGTGCCGATCCGAGTCGGGCAGCTGCGTTCTTGGATTGCGCAAGTTCAGAAGAATTTTGGGATTTGTTCAGGGAAGTGTTTAGTTCTTCTGGCCCCTTGAGTCCGGACACGGGGACGTTGGCCTACTTGAAATGGAAAGAGTGGGAGCAGTTCATCGATGGACTCGACGCAGCTACAGAAGTTGGTTCGCTGGATGGGATCGTTGTGCCACTCACTGGCGAATGGCGTCCCGATGGATCGGGCTACTTCACGGAAATCCGTGAGAAGCGAGACTGGGTGAAGGCGATGCAGCAGAGCCAATGGCAGAACCTTTTCGGGTCACCGCCCCAGTGGTCTGCTGGGAACCTTGTTGGCTTCATGAGATGTCCCGTAGGCTTCGTCATGGTGCAGTACGTCGTGTTTCTGGTGCACAAGTTGCGTTCCAACCTGTCTCTAGATGCCGCAGAGACAAATTTGGAAAGCATGCTTTACTCATTCGTCAGCATACTCGACGCACATTTCGATCACCTCGAGTCTTCAACCTGGAATCATTCATCGTTTGATCTTGCTGTCAACCTGAACTTGGAAGATGCGCGTTACTTTCCTCGCTATGCTGATTTTGTTGCTGCCCAAGAGAAATCGCCAGTGCATGAGCCACATTGGAAGGACGAATGGCCCGAGCACGCTCAATGGGTGCACGCGGTGAAAGGTTTAATTGCAAGGAAGCCACAAGCCTTCCGCATAGCTTTGGTAGGAGAGCACGGGCCGAGCAACTTGGAACATTTGCAGGCAGCACAGGCAGCTGCACATGACATTTGGCCAAATGTTCCTATCGAAGCTGGCCATTTTTTCACTTATTTGTGGCAGCTTGATAGTTTGTCCGATGGTTCCTCCCTCCGCTCCTCCCTCCGAATCACATGGGATGCATTTTGGGGTGAGCCCCTCACGGAGTCAGCAGGGCGTGACAAGTCCAAATCCCAGCCTTTGTGGACCATAGATCAGGCAGTGTGGGCATTGACCACGTACCTTCACCAAGAGCCGTTTTTGCGATCTTCGGAAATCATCGTGTGCAGTGAGCCTTTGTGGCTCTGCATATTGCTTCATGCATCCCTGGGCTATGACACGCAGAAACTTGTCACCCGGGCAAGCGCCGCTGGCCGAGTCATGTGCTTGCTTGTTGATTTTGAGCAAATCTTCGGAATTGGTGAGGTGGACAACTATTGGGCAATTGTCCGCCAAGTCCGGGTTGCCTTGCAAGGCAAGCGCAAACCTTTCACTGCAACATCGCGAATCACAGCAGAAATGCTCGAGTGGCAAGCCGACTTGAGAGTGCCCTACGTCCCATTCTTGTCCTTGCACGTCGAGGCAAGTGGCGCAAAGTACGCGCCTGCTCATGGCAAGGACCTTTTATTCTTCCGTTCCGCCCTCCCCGCACAGGTCCCTTTCCTTCGAGTCTTGCGACTCATTGAAGCAGAAAAGCGAGCACGGGGCGAGCAGCTCGCAACCGTGACTGCTATGACGAAGCCAATGGCATACTCCGAGATCGCATCTTTTCGAGCTGTGGCCATGCTTCCCCACATTCCCAATGCGCTGCGCCTCTCTGATGCCTATGCAATGGGAATCCCGGTTTTCGTTCCAGACGAACCCTTCATACACAAGTTCGTTTGGCCAGATGACCCTCTGCCACTTCTCAGCAAGGCGCGCATGACAGACGGACCTGTTCGACATTCGCCGCTACACTTTCAATCAGAAGGGCGGCGCTATTATAAGTTTCGCGAGGATCGACATTACTGGCTGCAGTACACGGAGTGGCGTCTCCGCCCGCATCTGCTGCGTTTCAGTGCCTTGGCGTGGTTGCTTGGGAGGATCGAGTGTAAGTCGAAACTTCGTTTGCCCAGAGATTTCTGACATGTTCTGACGTCGGCAAGACTGGCG